CAAACCATATTAACTTTGGAAAGTGTAAAGATGGGTTGGAACGCATTGATCGTGTGTTGTAATTTTGTATTGTAGCTTTGTTAAAGTTGTAACCTGTCTCTATTGTTTTACAATGTCAGTGTAATGTGTAGGTAGGACTTGATTTGGGACTCCTCAGTCCTGTTGTCTGTACCTTCAATCGTTTTATTGATTGCAAAGTTTATAAATAAATAAATAAATAAAGCAGAATGTTAAGGTATTTATTCAGGTAAACGTCCTCGTAGACTTTACTTTTAGTTTGTTCTCATTTCCCCCCCAATAATGGACCATTCCCCAATTAACCAAAATTTTGATCTCAACAAGTCTAGACAAAATTCCATCACAGCATGAAAGAGATCACAAAATTAGTAATATTCCAAAGTTTCGTTGCGAAATGTTGTAAAATGCGGATAATATAGCCTTGCAAAATTTGCAATTTTCAGTCATTTTAGATTACAAACGGGAAATGGTTACCACTTTTCCAAAATTTTGATCTGAACTAACCTAAACAAAAATTTCATCACAGTTTGAAAGAGCATCACAAAATTAGTAATATTCCAAAGTTTCGTTGCAAAATGCGGATAATATAGCCTTGCGAAGTTTGTAATTTTCAGTCATTTTGTATTACGCACAGAAGTGGTAACCATTTCCCGTTTGTAATCTAAAATGATTGAAAATTGCAAACTTCGCCAGGCTATATTATCTGCATTTTACAACATTTCGCAACAAAACTTTGGAATATTACTAATTTTGTGATGCTCTTTCAAGCTGTGATGAATTTTTGTCTAGAGTTGTTTAAATCAAAATTTTGGTTAATTGGGGAATGCATGGTCCATTATTACGCGAGAGAATCGCAAGGCATAAACACGCGGGTGCAGGGGTCATTGGCTTCAAGAAAAAGTTGAAGGTAGCGTTCCAGTTATACTCGTTTCAGTGTAATAATGTGAAGCCGTGTGCAAAATCCCTCTTACCGTTGGTACACCAGTTGTTATCCTCAAACCACCCGATGCACCCACAACCATCCTTACAATACCACTCTTATTCACCACAATGGTAGGACACGAAGTGGACACAGAACGTTTCCCAGGTTGGATGTAGTTGGCTTCTGAAGACTTGGGTTGATAGTTCTTGGATATGTTTGGTAAAGAAAACGTAGCCATATGATTGTTGTAAACGATGCCTGTCTTATACGAACGAAGCCTCGCACCAAAACTGTTAAAGAGACAAAATGAAAAGTTAAAGGACTGTTTATACGAGTCCAGTTGAACGAGGGCGCCATCTTTCATAGTAATTCCCGAAACAAAAAAATTTTCTTTGAAACAAATGATAGCGATATTAATTTTATTTTTGTTGTGTTTGTCTTATGTGTAAATAGTTAAATGTTTTATTGTTTGTTTTTAATATTTTAGTATTTTTTGTCTTGCGCATTTAGTAAAAATTCTGCATGCTTGCGCAATTATTTGTTTACGTGACACGAACACGCGGACCGTTATAACACAGAGTAGAGACACAGAGTAGAGACCATTGAACTATAAATAAACTGGAAGGCTAACTGCTATGATGAAGGCCTATGATTTGATGAAGCCAGGATAGTTTTTCTGAGTTATGAGCAGAAATACTTTACCCCAAACGTCGTGCTATATATCAAATTGAAGCTATTGAAAATTGCTATTCGGTGTGGAAATTTCAAGACTTCAGCGAAAAGAAAAATATTTAAAAAATACAAAAACAACTGCAAAACGGCAAATTTTCGGTAATTATGTTTGTAATTTTTCAATATTTCCCTTTTAGCTAAAGTCTTGAAACTTCTACACCAAATAGCGTTTTTCAATAGCTTCAATTTGATATATAGCCGAACGTTCAGTGTTGAGTATTTCCGCTCATAACTCAGAAAAACTAAAATACACTGGCTTCAATTTCCCCCCCTGAGTTAGCCTTCCAGTTTATTTATAGTTCAATGGTAGAGACATACAGAGACGTAACTAGTGTACCCACTTTTTTTGTGCGCATGCTCGGCAAGTTACTAGATGCATGCATCTGATTGGATGACGACCTGATGACGACTCACTTTAAACTTGCTGAGCACGCGCAGTTGATCATTTTTCGCCCGGTCGCCTGAAAAAAAGTGGGTACATGATAACGTAATCTTCCGCAGTGTTTACAACGGTCAGTTACGTCTCTGTATGTCTTATCTACTCTGTGGTTATAATTAAAGCAAAACACGAGTAATTCTTATTTTTAACTTGAAAATGATGCAAGAAGCATCGAAACGTCGTTGTAATAAAATAAAATTAATATCGCTATCATTTGTTTCAAAGTTAATTTCACAAAAGATTTCTAATAAAAAAAAAATTTCTTTACATAAAAACCGGGCAAGCACCAGCCCGTAGGTACAATGTCACATCTTGACAACAAGAAACTGGCTTGTTGTGTTCGCAACAGGCTTGTTGCAAGCTTGTCAACACGACTTATGTAACAGAGTTGTCATTTTATCAAGTTGCTACAAAACTGTCACTGACAACTTGTTAATTAACAAGAAAATGATAAAACTTTCCGAATTTTTTTGCACCCTCCATCCCCCCGCCTGGCCATCAAGGGTTAGTTATGGCCTTGGCTGAAACAATTTTTCACCTCAGTGTCGGTAAACAGTGCATCGATATTAGGGAGTTTACGATCTACGACGCGGCCGGCTCGACGACGCGCTTTCAAAACAAAGAAATTTGGTGTTTCCACAAACAATAGTATTATGTGTTTTATCGCCATGCAAACCTACAAAGAACTTACAAAGAAATTTGTCATGCAAGACAAAAACTGTCAATAATTTGTGGTCTCATGAGTATTGTCAACCGCGTTGTCATTCTCAACACAACGTTAAAAAAGCATTATTACGTCTTTCAGGCAACGCGAAAGCTTAATGCGACACAAGAGGTGTTACCGGCTAAAAGTCGAAATTACAGCAAACATTGCATCGCTTTAGCCGGACGTAGCATTTTGTAAGGTTATTTGAAAGAGTCAAATATTTATTACAGTAATCGAATTGCTTAGCGCTCATTCTTGAGCTAAAATTTAGACCGTGTCGTTGAGCCGGCCGCGTCGCAGATCGTAAACTCCCTATTCATTCACCTTGAGCTTCGCGTCTCGGTGAATAATTCTTAACTTATTCCCCAAACAAGGGATCGATGCGGCCCCTTACTCATGGATCTCTCTAGGAGAAACTCTTTTAAATTTGAGAACTGATAGATCAATCCAGTACAAGAAAAGTGCGTTTCATTTGAAAAAGAAAACTTACTAATATCCAAGGGTACTCGTGACAGACACGGCGTCTCCAGTAGGTCCAACAACAGATAAGTGTGTCGTACCAAAATCTAGCATTGGATCGTAAAATCCTCCATAGTACAAGGAATCATGTGTAGTGTTGTCCCAAATTTTCTGACGTAACGTTTCGGCATAAGTAGCATTAACCTGAAGATCTATGCTCTAAAAGAACGAACGAAATTTTAAAAAACACACGTACGTCAAAGCACAGACATAGTGCATACCGATGATGTTTCAAAAACGTATCATCGGGATGTGTTCGCACCACGAATTTTTGCATGAAGCTGATTGATAGTTTTTGAGGTAACTGTTGAATGGGTTTTGGATATTTCGAATGTAGATTATATACATTTTATACTTAACCGGGAGCAACCATAGGCCCTGGAACAAACACACACAAACCGACCCAGGTAAAAGCAACCTCCTCTGGGACAGACCGCGTTCGCGTTTATAATTATATCACAGAAGAAATTCAACGACAACGATGGTGATTGCTATTACATAACCACTAACCTTTTCAACTTCGGGATAAAAATCAGGATCACCGAGAAACGGTCGATATGCATAGCCAAACTTGAATGCCTCTATCATACGATGCCATGTTTGTACGATATTGCTGGCGGATATAGAATCTGGAGTGAACTTGAATCCTAGATAAAGAGAGCATATGTTACTATAGCATAAGTTTGATAAACTAAACTAATCCTTATTTACTCTGACTATAGTTCAGTGTATAATAACCAACAGTTCTACACTGCCTAGAGGTCCAGTATAAGGATCATCTCTTATTGATACAGTGTTATTCCAGGAGGAAACCTAAACTAAACTAACTTTATTTATACTGGATAACTTTATCAGTTCTGAACTGTTCTCCCTAGAGGTCCAGTAAGGATCATCTCTTATTGATCCAGTGTTACTACAGGAGGAAACCTAAACTAAATATTACTAAACTAAATTTATTTATATTGGATAGCTCTATCAGTTCTGAACTGTTCTTCCTAGAGGTCCAGTATAAGGATCATCTCTTATTGATCCACTGTTACTACAGGAGGAAACCTAAACTAAACTAACTTTATTTATACTGGATAGCTCTATCAGTTCTAAACTGTTCTCCCTAGAGGTCCAGTAAGGATCATCTCTTATCGATTCAGTGTTACTACACGAGTAAACCTAAACAAAACTAACTTTATTTATACTGGATAACTTTATCAGTTCTGAACTGTTCTCCCTTGAGGTCCAGTAAGGACCATAAACAAACTTTATTTATACCAGAAAGCTCTGTCAATTCTAAACTGTTCTCCCTAGAGAGGGAGAGGTCTCAGTTCAAATATTCGTCGGAGAAAACTGACCTTTTAAAATATTCAAGATCATTATCAAGGTAGAGCCGCTCGATGTAGCTGACGTCGTGTACAAAATGTCATCGTTCACGAAGCTCGACAGCACACGTCTTGTTGTTGCTGTAAAATTTTGCAAATCTTCCAATGTCAGTATTCCACCACGGTCCTGGATGTCTTTGACCATTTCTCTGGCGAGCGAGCCGTTGTAGAAACTCAAGGGGTTTTCGGCAAGCTCTGTCAAGGTTTTTGCAAATACTGGGTCTGTGATCGTCTCGCCTTCCTTTCGCGGTGTTCCATCGTCATGGAAGTAAAGCTCCCTGTGTAGACAAAAAAAATTGTCAGGCTCTCCCAAATACTGCAAATTACTGACTATGGATTACTTTGGATTAAAAAAACTATGTTTATCCTAACCCACCCTGTCAACTTTCCCTGTGGGAGGAAACCGGACCGCCCGGAGAAAACCCATGACTTTCGGCAGAGCATTGACTGAAGAATCGAACCACGATCTCAGAGGCGAAAGGCGCTTGAGTTTACAGGTCAAAGAGCTGCACTGATATCGCAGGCCCATAGGTTCGATCCCATTGAAGAACCCATATTTGCATTTTCGCAAACGAGCTTTAAAGTGAACGTACTTGAAACCTCTCTCTTTAATGATGTCGTTCTTGGTCGTATTAATAGCCACAGCCAACGGTTTGTCAATTCTGAAGCCGTTGTTTGCCAGGTCAATGGTTGGCTGGAAAAGTCGTTTCCATGGTAACCGTCCTTGTGTTTTCCATGCATTATACATAGCTAGTACTTCCCCTGGCACTGCAACTGCTAATTTACCTAGGAAGAGCAGAAGCATGATGTGAGCCTGTATGGTCATTTTATGGTCGCCCAGGGATAGGGATACCCCTGTCATCATGTTAGTCACCCACCTACTTTACTCTCACCGGATATATTCACAAACACATCAACTTCATATGCCCAGCAAGAACACCCCCAAGAACACCCCCATCCCACTAGAACACCCCCGCCCACCTCCAAGAACACCCACCTTTTTTACTTTCACCTGTTTTGTTGACAAACATATCAGGTGTCGATGCACCGGGAGCAGTTTCTCGGAAATCCAAATATGTAGCAGTTTTGGTGGATTGTTTATACAGCAACATGTATCCACCGCCACCAATTCCGGCGGAATGGGGATGAATAAGACCTAGACATATCAGCGTTGCCACGGCCGCGTCAATGGCCGTCCCGTTGTCACGCATGACGTCAGCACCGATGTTTGAACAGACCTCGGAATCAGCAGCGACGGCGCCATGCAAACCCGTACTCGTCTGACTTGACGAGTCCGATGATTGCGTCAGCACTACTGCAAGCGTCACCGCTATTGCTATGACAACCACAACCACTACTGCCAAAGCGACAAATTTTTTTGACCCCATGGCCGTTCTTGGCGCTGTGTTAATTTGAAGCTTGAAACTAGTAAAACAATAGACAAAAAAAGTTGAAGGAAGTGAAGGGAATGTTTTTCAGCAGCATGTTGCCTACGCGATATTTGCCACGCAAAGGATTGGATTCGGTTTGAAAATGTCCAAAAAGATTTAATAATCTATTTGGCATACGTAATTTAACATATTAGTCTTGGATTTACAAGAGACGTCTCGTGGATTTACAAGAGACGTCTTGGGACTTGACTTGGACTTTAACCTTACACTGTAGCATTCGTATGATCTAAGAATGTACGTAGCTTGTAAGAATATTATAATCTTATTGTCGATTTCAGGTAACTTTTCAACACGCTGTTCCCAAGTTTAATGTTGCGAACATGCCAATTACGTTGTCAAGTTCGGAAGTTGGGCGTGAACTTCGCAACGAAGTTCGCAAGTTCATTTCAAAGTTCGAATTTTGATTGTAAACAAATGTTCGTAGTTGGAGTTGAAATTACTGCATAAGGCCCTATGCACATATTACTGCAGTAAAATATTGGTCCAGTGGTCTTCCAAGACGAAAATGCCTTTTTAAATAAATTTATAAATGAAATTTTTACATTTGTTTACAATCGAAGTTCGAACTTTGAAATGAACTTGCGAACTTCGTTGCGAAGTTCCCGCCCAACTTCCGAATTTGGAAACGTAATTGGCAAGTTGACAACAAACTTGGGAACCGCGCTTTGAAAAGTAATCTGAAATCGACAATAAATTCGTCAGAAACATAGGAATTATACAAGCATGAAATTAAGTGCACACAACACGAACTGTTCCCGCCATCATTTCAAGCAATATTTCAAATCCTTTCATTTCTCGCGGAAATTTTCGCATTTCACCGAAAAAAGCGCTCGTAGAATCAGGCGTTTATGCGATCTCGTTAGGTGTTGGACCTAACCTGCAAACAGGCATACTCTGGGTACGAGATTGGCCTTTATGCAGTCAATATATTTATGTATTGCTCTGCCAACTAGCTAGTCTAGTCGCAGACTGCATCCCGCTCCCCCACGGGATGACACCTTCCACCACGGGGGGTGGGGGGTGGGGTGGGAGGGACAGTCTGTGCGCAGACTACCAACTAGCCCAACGTCTCAAAAATATTATGTTCAATCCTGGTCGCACTTCCAGCATGTTTAAAGTCATTTTAGATGTTTATCAAAGCCGTCATAAATTTTTCATTCCAGTGTTCGAAATTCTGCCGTGACAGGAACGCTCGTGTGCAGGCCTGTCTCAGGGGATTATGCATAATTGAGCATTGGGCTAGTATTCCAAAGGTCGTAGGTTCGATTCCCACCGTGGCCAGGCATAGCATCAAGCCTGCCCGGTGTGGATATACACTCAGAAGCATCATGATTTTTGAGACGTTCTCTGTTCATTATATCCAAAATGACATTTAACAGTTGAATAGCTTACCGTGTTTACTCGTTTGAGCGCCGCGGCGCTCTTTAAATTTTCAGAGCTTCAGATGCGGCGCTCATTCAAGGGCGGCGCTCAATCGGGGGCGGCGCTCTTTAAAAAATATTTTACTTGTGAATTATAACAAGAACTTTTAACAATAAAATAAAAAGTTTGTTAAATGTCTTTGTCACTAAATGTTCCCATTTTGACGGCGGAAAGTTTTTACACTGGCCGTTTTTATACTAGAGACGCATGATGCGTCTGGACGAACTTGGGCAAGCATTTGTTGTTCGTCTGGTTATGCGTCCTTAGTATAAAGACGGGAACAAGACGCATTATGCGTCTAGACGAACTATGTTCGATTCTTCGTCTTAAGAGACGCACAACCGATGATAGTTCGTCTAGACGCATAATGCGTCTTGTGCCCGTCTTTATACTGAGGACGCATAACCAGACGAACAATAAATGTTGATAGTTCGTCGCATTGGCCGTTTTTATACTAGAGACGCATTATGCGTCTGGACGCATAATCCGTCTTCTACATTATTCGTCTAGTATTATTCGTCCCGTCTTTATACTAGACGAATAATGTAGAAGACGGATTATGCGTCCAGACGCATAATGCGTCTCTAGCATAAAAACGGCCACTGTTTATAAGTTTACAAAATATCAATGTCACTGTCCACTTCATGGTCCGAGTCCTATGGCGTCATATCACCGCCAATATTCATGTATATCATGCTTTCGACATTGAAGTTAAATAGGACATTCAGCACCTACGTGCTTTCGACATTGAAGATAAATCTGACATTGAACATGCAGAACATTCAACATATTTCGACATTGAAGTTAAATAGGACATTCAGCACCTACGTGCTTTCGACATTGAAGATAAATCTGGCATTGAACATGCAAAACATTCAACATATTTTCGACATTGAAGTTAAATATGACATTGAACACCTATGTGTTTTTGACATTGAAGTTAAACCGGACATTGAACATGCCGCGCATTTAGCACCCATCACAACTTCAAGGTTCAAAATATGTTGAAAAAAATTACCACATGTTGAATATTGGCGGAGTTGAACGATAGCGTCAAATCTCCGCCAATATTAATTAAGCTAACACAAGATAACCCCCCGGCCAAATTCATTCGTGTCCAGACCTCTAGAACATATCACATGACGCAAGCCGAGGATCGAATTCGCCGCATCTTGTCGCTGTATTCAAGGCCGTATATTCACCATAATATTCGTGTATATTCGCTTGATTGTCTCAAATTAATTGACTTTTATAGCGCAGATTGAATTGCTAGAGACGCAAAAAACGCAAAATCTGGTAGAATGAACTCAGAGGCAATAACTTCCGCAAGCGATGCAGGCAGATGCTCCGTTTGAAGTTGCTGAGCGATTGAGACAACATGCAGTCAACAGCTGTTATTAAATGTATAAAAATTGATATTATTTTATTTATTAGATTATATTTTAAAAATTCCTAATAATCGCATTATAGATAATCGATACATTTTAATATTTAGAGTGTACTGGCAAAAACAATGCGTGCGTGAACGTGAACTTTTGCTGCGACAGAAAGGCAGATGGTTTTCTTTATATATTAAATCGTTGTGGTGTAATGTGATAGTACTTGTCAATTTAGCATAATTTTGAGCACTTTTCTTTCCGGATCCGTGAGCCTTTTATAACTTTATTTGTCATTTACTTATACAACTGTTTACAAAAAATCCTACTGTTTACAAGCTTTTGTGTTACATACTTAATTACCGTAATAGGTGTCTTCTTATTAATTCCATAACTGTTACACAATAGAGATTTTTGCTGTCAATTGCACTAGCTAGAATTAGCATTTTAATAATAGTAGGCTACATCCTTTTAATTTTTAAACTAGGAGAATAGTTTCGTGAAAAAATTTATTTATCTTATACCATAAACTTCCGATTATAAGTCCCCGAATATAAGCCCGACGTCTATGACCCCGTCACATTACTAACGTTCACACCATTCGATATACTAGCCCGTAATCATAATCAGAAGTTTATGGTATAAGATAAATAAATTTTCTCACGAAACTATTATGTGCTATTATTAAAACGCTAATTCTAGTGCAATTGACAGCAAAAATCTTTATTGTGTAACAGTTATTGAATTAGTAAGAAGACACCTATTAAGTGTGTAACACAAAAGTTTTGTAAACAGGTAGGATTTTTTTAATTGTTGTATAAGTAAATGACAAATAAAATTATTAAAGGCTCACGGATCCGGAACTTAGAAAAGTGCGCAAAATTATGCTAAATTGACAAGTACTATCAAATTACACCACATGGCCTCACGATTTAATATATAAAGAAAACCATCTGCCTTTCTGGCGCAGCAAAAGTTCAGTTTGACGCACGCATTGTTTTTGCAATTACACTCTAAGTAAAATGTATCGATTATTTATAATGCGATTATTAGGAATTTTTAAAATATAATTTTTGCGTCTCTAGCAATTCAATCTGCGCTATAAAAGTCAATTAATTTAAGACAAACAAGCGAATATACGCGAATATTAAGGTGAATATACGGCCTCCAATACAGCAACAAGATGCAGCGAATTCGATCCTCGGCTTGCGTCATGTGATATGTTCTAGAGGTCTGGACACGAATGAATTTGGCCGGGGGGTTATCTTGTGTTAGCTTAATTAATATTGGCGGAGATTTGACGCTATCGTTCAACTCCGCCAATATTCAACATGTGGTAATTTTTTTCAACATATTTTGAACGTTGAAGTTGTGATGGGTGCTAAATGCGCGGCATGTTCAATGTCCGGTTTAACTTCAATGTCAAAAACACATGGGTGTTTAATGTCATATTTAACTTCAATGTCGAAAATATGTTGAATGTTTTGCATGTTCAATGCCGGATTTATCTTCAATGTCCAAAGCACGTAGGTGTTGAATGTCCTATTTAACTTCAATGTCGAAAATATGTTGAATGTTCTGCATGTTCAATGTCAGATTTATCTTCAATGTCGAAAGCACGTAGGTGCTGAATGTCCTATTTAACTTCAATGTCGAAAGCATGATATACATGAATATTGGCGGTGATATGACGCCATAGAGTCCAACTGCTGCATGCCCATTGTTGGATTTGGATATGCCTCCTCGTCATCAGAAGACGTAAATTCGTCGCATTGAAAGGGATTCGAATAAGCGCCGCATTTGAATATAGCTACTGTCATTTTGATCAGTCTAGCGTTATATATATTCAGTCTAAAAGTGATATTAGTAATTTAGCTAAAGCTATTAAGGATGAATTATGTAATAGATATAATTAGCTATAGTTTTATTGTTTGTATATTGTATCTGTTATATTGTAATATATCCTATGTACCAGTAATGGTGTAATGGAATAAATATATTATTCACTGGACGAATATATACATTGTATGATGTTTCGCAGCAATGTTCTATTCAAATTGCTACTAAATTTGAGAGGAGATACACATTTCCAAGTCAGGGCCAGGGGTAACCAACGCAAACCCCTTCCTATTAGCAGTCAAACAAGATGCGAAACAAGAATGCGTATAGAATTATTATGGAATCGCTTACCTTAAAAGCTGAACTTTCCGCCCTTGGCGACTTGAAAATTTCACCAGACTGGGGAATGCATTTGCATTGCATGCATGGGGTATGACAGCTGTCGTCATTGAGAATCTGATTTAATTCATCTGTCATGCAAATGTAAACACGCAGGAACGGGCACATTCTGTGGGGAAATGAAAACAGAGATAAATTCTCATAGCCATAGGGTAAATAATAAGGTAAAACAAGAAAACGAAGTTATCGATTATAGATATACTCCAGTTATATTTATTTTTCAAAGATGGTATTACTACGCAAATTTAGAGCATAATCAATTCGAAGCTGTTTTCCATGCTACTACAAATCATGGAAATTAATTCGAAGACTTTTGGAAATATCGTGTTTCTGGTGTTGTAACTTGTATGCTGAGGTGAAGATAGAGCTAATTCAATTAAGGTTGTTCAAGGCAAACCGTCAAACTTTGAACTCTAATAAGCGCGAAAAGCAATTATTATTATGAGATTGTTTAGGCATACATGTTAGCACACTATGGTAATCAAGTGAATTTAATTCCCAAAAGAGTCAAGCACATCACACAAACAACTTTCTTTAACATTAAAATCCAATGAATTCTGCCAGGAATGGACCTATTACCTAATGAACAAAATTTTGATCTCAACAAGTCTAGACAAAAATTTCATCACAGCTTGAAAGAGCATCACAAAATTAGTAATATTCCGAAGTTTCGTTGCGAAATGTTGTAAAATGCGGATAATATAGCCCTGCGAAGTTTGCCGTTTTTCAGTCATTTTGTATTACGCACGGGAAAAAAAGTTCCAAAAAAAAAGTATCAAAAAAAGAAAAAAAGTATCAATTTCCCGTGCGTAATACAAAATGACTGAAAAACGGCAAACTTCGCAGGGCTATATTATCCGCATTTTACAACATTTCGCAACGAAACTTCGGAATATTAATAATTTTGTGATGCTCTTTCAAGCTGTGATGAAATTCAAAAAATTTTGTTCATTAGGTAATAGGTCCATTGGGTTAGACGAGCAAATAAAATCCGAGAAAGGGAAAATCGATGGGGATACCAAAACGACTTGTGGAACGTAGCATGCCAACCATGTAACTACGGAAGTGTTGGCAAAAAACAAAAAATTACAATTAACAATTACAAAAAACAGTATGCATGTCCGTCGTGCTTTACGCGCTTAGAGGTCGAAGTTTTGCGTTTTGAAAGGACAACTTGCATGTTAGACTAAATTTTAATCGAAATTTTAATTCTAATCTATAAGTAAAGGGAAGGGAATCAAACACCACAGCTAAAAAGAGCATAATGAAATTAGTAAAATTGCAAAATTTGTTGCAAAATGTTGTAAAGCTTGGAAACTATAGTCTTGCAAAGGAGTTGCAAATTTTCTGATATGTTTGTATTACGTGCGCAAATTGTTACCATTTTCGGCTCAAAAATGGTAACAATTATGCCAAACTTCGCAAGCGGCTATATCAGTTCTGTATTTTACAACATTTCGCAACCAAATTTTGCAGTTTTACTAATTTTAATAAGTTCTTTTGACGGGAATTTACTTTTTTTGCCTAGATCACAAAATTAGTCTAACATGTCAATAGACATTGAATTAGCTGCATATGGCGGATTGTGATGTTTCTCTGAGTGTGTCTACAAGCGAAAAAGTTTGCTTGACCACGGTACGTGGGAATCGAACCGGCCGCGACCTTTGGTTTGCTAGTCAAGCAAACTTTTCGCTTGCCCGGTGAACACTATCATATAGAGTTTTGAAAATGTTCCCAAATTCCCCCCTCCCCGCTTACAATGTTGGTTTGTGGTCCAATAATCATGGTTTGAACTGTACTATAGGGAAAGGGGGGAGTTACTATTTCTAGCGATCATAGTCTAGTTTCCATTTTATCGTCAAATCGTCAATCGTTGAAGAACAGCTGTTCACACTTGAAAAACTGTAATCACTTTTTCAGATCACGGAGTGGTTACCACGTGACTTGTTGCATGCTGTGTTTAGAAAGTCGGACCTAGCATGTGTGAAAAGTGCATTATATTATTCCATTTTATATAACACTGATTTTATGGGGGGCAGCCGCGCGCTTCCGACATTGCCAGTCCTGCCCCGCGAAACCCGGCTCTTTCCTGGATGGGTTCAAGAGTTTGAGGATTAGATTGCATTGCAAGGATTATGATTAAGTTAGGATCAGTGTTTACTGATGTCGGTTGAGGCCGTGATTTTCCCTAATTTCGTAAGGCAGAGCATGCCCGTTCGCAGGTTACACATTGAAATTTGAGACCATCGTTAAATTGTGTTGTTATTAAAATGAACTCATTATTACTTTTTGATTATTTTTATAATGTAAGATTAACAGCGCGCGCAAAGTTCTACGAAGATTAAGAACACTCAATGTGTTTTGTGTTTGCTTGTCAAAAGACGTACAGAAGCGTCAAATGGACTTTCCTTTGTAAAATATTTACCTACGGCTTAATATAACTGTCTAGCAATTTGGCCGACAGTATTTACTTTCTATTCAATATTGAAATTAAACCGTAACATGAGCCGAGATGGCTTGACGGACTTTTATAGAATTCCGTTCATTCGAGCTTTGCTTACCAGTATATGGCCAACACGAAAGATCTGTTTGTCCAGGCTTGGAAAAGAGACGAGCGTGAAGTAAGGCTTTTTCTGGGCGACTTTAAGGATTCCTAAACTTGTTTTCAAACGGCGAAATTAGTTTGTTTTATGGAGCGAGTATTTACATATATCGCAGCCCTGTTAAGTCGCTTCTTGTTCTCATTTCACGCCGGTGTTACAGTATGGTGGCTCACGCAAGTCACACAAGATCAGCAATATTGGTGTATACTGGGTTATTGTCTGTCGTTTTTGTTGTTAGAAACGTTGGTTACGGTATTTTATCGTAAAGGCCATGAGTATTATTGGTAAGTTCGAGTTATTGATACAGAACATGAATAGGATTTGGCTCACATTACACGTAAATATATAGTCGTATCCTTCAAAGCGACTTATAACGTAACCTAAGTCGTTTAAACTAACGTATTAAAGTCGCTTTGAAGGATACGACTATACGGCTAACTCTACAGCCTTGTTCAAATGAGGGAAACATGTTGGTTCAACATTGTTAGCCTTGGTTTAACACTGTGTTGGGTAGTGTTGGTTCATGAGGGTCCGGTTTTGACTTCGTTCAATACGTTTACACCATAATGTGACGTTTACACCATATTGGATAGCTGCAGTCCCTAGCGGCGCGAAAAAAGCTTAAAAGCATCTATCCGATACGGAGTGTTCAACTTTCAGACGCTGAGCGAAACAGCATCTCTCTGTTGCGATAATTCCTCCAAAAATAGCGTTCCCAGCAGTACGGATTGGTGATTTTTGTACATACATGGATGGCACAGTGTAATTATATTGTGTATTAAACGTATCCTAAATTTTTATCCAATATTGTGCAACCTCGTCGAACAATTTTGTACAATGCTGGACTCGTTTAGACGGGAAGACGAAGGACCTAAGGTTCGATATATATCGAAGTTTTATGCTATATTTTTCAGGCTAGGCAGCCGTACCGGCCCTTCGATCGCATTTATAATTATTGTATAAATGCAGTCAAAACGTAATCTGCGCCGCGTATAGTGCGGAAAATGAAATTCAATCCTTTCGGAGGCAGGGTTTTCCAAATGGAATTATATATTGCGAATAACCTGTGCATTCTAGACCACTTGATTTAAACTGTCCATTTTGATCCTACTTGGTTCGTATGCAGAGCGCTGAAGTGGCAAAATTACTCGAGAAAACTTTCATTCTAGATTTTCCAAAAAAATTGCAATTTCGCGAGTAAAATCATCTGGCGTAAGATCGGTATTAGACATTCAAGTATTGTCCAATTTAATACCTCGTTATTTTTATGTAATTGGAATTTATTCGACGGCATTTCAACATATAAATCAATATCGTAAAAGAATTCGAATAATTTAATTTGTTGCGTCGAATTCGAGTTTAAAATAGATGATTAATGTTTTCTTTGACAAATTCCTAGGCGATTGATGATTAATTTTCCTTCATCGTCAAACACACGAAGAAATTAAGTGGCTCAAAACTGTCTTATGTATAGCATCTAGTTGTCAAGGCCAAAAAACCTTGTCAGTTTTATATGCACTATACACAAGAACAATGTACACAAAGCTTGTTCGTATATAGAAAAGGTTTAAAGACCGTTTTAAATATGGATGTTATAAGCTACACAAAACAGGCAAAAGTGAGACTAGTTAACGTTCTTCCTGTAGTAACACTGGAGCAACAATTGTGGCGTTCCCGATAGAGGTTCAGCAAGGACTAAGTGGTTTAGATCTGATAGAGCTATCTAGTATAAATATACAGTTAGTTTACTTTAGGTGTTCTCCTGTACTGTCTGTAGTAGCACTGGATCAATAAGAGATGATTCTTACTGGACCTCAAGGAAGAACAGTTTAGAACTGATAGAGCTATCCTGTATTAATAAAGTTAGTTTAGTTTAGGTTTCCTCCTGTAGTAACACTGGATCAATAAGAGATGATTCTTACTGGACCTCAAGGAAGAACAGTTTAGAACTGATAGAGCTATCCTGTATAAATAAAGTTAGTTTAGTTTAGGTTTCCTCCTGTAGTAGCACTGGATCAAAAAGAGCTGATTCTTACTGGATCTCAAGGAAGAACAATTTAGAACTGATAGAGCTATCCTGTATAAATAAAGTTAGTTTAGTTTAGGTTTCCTCCTGTAGTGACACTGGATCAATAAGAGATGATCCTTACTGGACCTCTAGGGAGAACATTTTAGAACTGATAGAGCTATCCAGTATAAATAAAGTTAGTTTAGTTTAGGTTTCCTCCTGTAGTAACACTGGATCAATAAGAGATGATCCTTACTGGATCTCTAGGAAGAACGGTTTAGAACTGATAGAGCTATCCAGTTTCCTCCTGTAGTAACACTGGATCAATAAGAGATGATCCTTACTGGATCTCTAGGAAGAACAGTTTAGAACTGATACAGCTATCCAGTTTCCTCCTGTAGTAACACTGGATCAATAAGAGATGATCCTTACTGGATCT